CCCCATTCGACACCCACGTTTTGTGTCCGGAAGCCGAACGGCAAGTGGCGTATCGTTCGAGCTTACAATAAGCTAAACGCCGCTATCATTCCGGCACAGACGCCGATTCCTAGAAAGGATGCTCTCCAGGACAATATGGCTGGCTGTACAAAGCACGGCGCACTCGAGTTAATCGATGGTTATTACCAGTTGCTCATGAGAGCGAGTGATATTCGGTGAGTACTTCGAGCGGCATTCCCTGGGGCCACAAGGGCTGTCAAATGCACCAGCAACATTTCATCGTTTTGTGATGCAATTGTTCAGGCCCCACCGAGCCTATGCACAAACAATCTTCGACGACATCTTCGTCCACAGTCGTGCGGGGAGCGGTAGGACTGATGAGGAAGATCACATCGTCTATTTGAGAGCGATGCTAGAGTGCATGCGCACGAGTAAGCTGTATGCTAATGCCGATAAGTACATTTTCGGCGCTTCACTGGGAAGCGTGGCGCTCGAGCGAAGCCAGCTAAGGTCAAGGCCACTGTGGACTGGCTGGTTCCAAAGAACCAAAAGGACTTAAGCGAGTGCCTTGGCCTCCCCAGTACCGAAATCCGGCGCAGGTAAACGCGAAGCGTTGGCGCCAGAGCGACGCCCAATGGCGCTCGGCCACCCAGAAGCTGAACTAGTAACTGGTTCTGAGCGCGGAGTGCAACAATTCTCGTTTCCAACGGCGCAAAGCGCCCCAAAGTCGCACGAAGGGACGTATTCGTCTGCTTGACGGCTAGGAGCCGATCCGACGGAGCATGATAATCCTCAACATGAGGTAGTCGGTGCACAAAGTGCTCCAGACTCTTGAGGTCCTCCGTACAGCGGTAGGCGACCTCCGCAAGATGCTCGGCAGAGTGCCGATGACGACAGAGCTTGTCGTCCAATGCTCGAAGAGCATCGCGAGTCACCAGACGGCGATCCCCCAAGTCGTCATCGCTCGCCGCCAACTTTTCTCAATGAGAATGGTTGCGTCCACTACCACGTGGAATGCCTCATGGGTCGGCGTCGTCGGCAGGGTCTAACCCGATATTTTGTGAATGGCGAAGATACCCAAACCCCGAGAGCTCGTGGGAGTTTGAGGTGCCACTTCGGCAAGACTGCTCAGACGTCGTGGACGCTTATGATCAGAAGGATCATGACGCTTTGCGTCGTCGTGTGCACCGCGCTTCTCGGCAGTAGCTTGGGAAGCCGATGGACCATGTGCCGAACTCAAGCTATGGCCCTGAGCTGCTGTGGTCGTAAATTCACCCGTGTGAGAAACCACAGAGCTCGGGGAGCGTGATGGATAATTACATACGTTACAGGGCGACAATACGCAGGAAGTCGGCGTTGCGCTTTGAGTTTGGCAAACTTGAATTGAAGATGGCGTTCTACGCGCACATCCAATTCCTTGTGGCTCTGTTGTAAGTTAGACAGCGAGGATAGTCTCCGGTTCTGCTGCACCCAACGGGCAAGCACCACAGGATTGGTCGCAATGCGGGTATAAGAGCGCCTTCTCTTTAAGCGCGAAGTCGAGCGCGGTACCTATCCATTGGGAGTTCTTGTGGTACCAAAAGCGAGTTTGGAGAGATTTTCGCTGATCAAGCTCAGCTTGTGTTGTGGCCGGGGCCCGAATACGTAGACGCCTAACGATCGAGTGATTGCTTCTTTTGCTTCAGTAGCATGACCCGCCGATCGGAAGTATTCCACACGAGGGATTACGATACGAGCGCATGAGAACCGCCCTGCGACCAGCCCCCAACTGCTGCTCCTGTGCCTCGTCGAGACGATTAGTTATAATACCACTCCCCCCGGAAAATCGAGAGATCGAGAAACGGACACGGTGTCCGCAAGGTTCAAGCTGGGCTTACGTCACGCCGTTGGAGCACCTCTTCCTCCTCGTCTTCCCTACCTAAGAAAGGAATATCCGTCTGGTAGTCGACTTCCTCCAAATCCTCGACGAGAAAATCTGTCGCCCGTGGCGGGCGCGGTGTGTGGCACCCGGTTGCCGTGGGCTTGAGATGTACTTTTCATGAAGTTGTGGACGTACTGTCCGGAGTTGCACCGCGTGCAGATGACGAAGAAGGGCTCTGCCCGCGGGTGCTCTCGAAACCAGCCAAGCTGAGTGTTTTTTGTATCATAGACGCAGGACGTATTGAGCAGAGAATGCGTGAAGACGGTCCGGGGGACGTAAAGATATCTTAGACACGCGAGCCTCGTACGAGGCGACAGTTTAATGTGAATTGTCGGTATGCACAATTTTGATGGAGGAGAGCGTAACGAAATTACACGTGCCCTATATTGAGAAGGTGGGTCACACAAGATGGAGTGACCGTACAAAGTTGTGGATTTCACAAGACAGTGTAATCACGCAATTGTGTGGCTACACCGTTTCAAGAAGACATTACGTGGTGGGACTGCCAGAAGTTAACCATATTGATTAACCTTTACTAGTTGATTAAGAAAACGATAGATTTAGATGTAGATGGCTCTGCCGCGAATAAAACAGATGAATGCATTTCTCGATTTTGATCGAAAGAGTACATTTGCCTTGGGTTAAGGATTTTTGGTACTCTTGGAGGAAGCGGATCGCGATCCGGTACACTCATACTGTTTCTATTATAGAACGTAAGGTTGTTGGCCTTAGTAAGCTTCTTCTAATCAATGAGCTACGGCGCAGGGATTCATGTAGATTTTGAATCTAAAACGGAGAAGTCCGAGGCACGCATGAGGTCCAAGCCGCACATCAAGCTCCAGGTGATTAAGAAATTAGAAGAATGTACATACATAAAATTCATTTAAATAGATTTTTTTCTAGTGTATGAGCTCTAGCAATAGTAGAGCAAAATGACAGATCTAGTCTCTGTAAGACTATTGGTTCCGCATTTTTATAAACTCACGAACCCAACCTCTGTGCTTTTGTTAACGCGAACTCTTTGCGTCAAAGCTCCTTCTGTGCAAAGTGCACGACCTCCAACTGCAGTTGGCAGCACTTGAAGTAAATTCCGCTAACGGATCTTGGACAGAATATTCCTCTGCAAGAGGCTGTGCCTCTCCTGTGCATTTTCAGAGTTGGTGAGCCCGTCCAGGCGAGCAATTAACCGCGCTCGGTCGCATGCAAAATTGGAGACTCTTTATTACTGCATTTAGAGATTCTTGATGTGTGTACACCGTGAAGAATTTCTCACTAAACATGTCGCGCTAAAAGTAATCGAATTTCACCGCGTTGTGAGCTGTCCTTTGTCGTCAATGGGGTATTTGCGATATGATGACTTCATCTAGTAGCACACGACGCGTTCACGGCCGACATCATTAAATTGCGTCACTACATCGTTGGTGACTGACGACGTGAGATGGCCTCAATTGATCCGGGAGCACTTGGATCAAAGCCTCGTCTAGGATTTTCCGTACCGGATCAAATGAAGCTTGATCCGCGGAAGTCCAAGACCAGGTAGCTCGATCCAACCATAAAAATCTTTGATTTCTTGTCAAGGCGAGCCTTGCCAGGAATTTGTAAGAAAATTAGAAAGAAAAAATTGTACTACCTCTTTAAGCGTAACTTTGGTCTTCCTACCTTCTATACAAACCCAGCCGCAAGTTCGTTGATGTTGTCTTGGCTAGTTTGGCTCCAACTATATTTCTGTAACGCATGTTGCGAACTATCTACAAATATACTCCGTTAACTGCTGTGTTTACTTTTGTCGTAAAGTTTTCGCGTCGCAAATCAGAGAAAGCGAGTCAGTCCATGCCATGGCGACAATTCCTCACGTGAATGAACTCATGCTGGTAGGTGCGCAAGTAACCAGCCAGACCATTGAGGTCCTTTGCCGAACGAATGATCATCGCTTTACAACATTGAGCAATAAAAGCAAAACAATGTCTTATTATAAACCATAGATACTAAATGCGCAAAACGTGTATTCGTTTTGTCGCAATAGTTATTTAGTCTTTTATCACAAAAAAATTTGCTATTTGTCGCTTTCTTAAGCAATTTCTGCCAAGGCTGGATGCGACGCCTTCACAGATCAACGAGCTTAAATTCTTGACGAAAATGGGCAATGTCTTTGGTATCAGCAATCTTTACTAAATCGAATCGTTCCATGCATGTGAAACAGATTCTTAAATAGCTCCAGATGTGGTCTGCGCGAGTATTCAAGCACAGCGCCTGTAGGTAGCACTTCGTAGCCTTTTCATATTCCCCCAAATTAGCGTGACTAATTCCCAAATTAAGCCACCCACGAGCATAGCGAGGCTTCAGTTCTAATGCGCTATACACCATACAAAGTGTTTGGTAAGAATAGCTACGACATTACAAACTACTGCGACTTACCGATGATAAGCAGGAATAGCCTCGAGCGAGCGAGCTGAATTCGCTAGCGTTGCTCCAATCTTGTTCCACAGCGCATACGCATTAGGTTGCAATTTTGTTGCAGCTTTGAAGCTATCAACCGCTGCATCGTAATCCTTAGAAACATTGTACAAGACACCCAAGACAACTTGCACATCTGAGTCGCTATGGTCGTGAGCACGTGCCTGAAGCATGAGCTGCATCACTTCGTCCATCAACGATCCGTCGCTATAATCATCCACCTGAATTTTCAGACCATGAAATTTCGGGTTGTGTTGCACCCAGGCTTTCAGCGTTCTCAAGGCACCTTGTGGATTTAATTCGTTCACATTGCTAACTCCAAGAGCCAGAAGCGCACTTAAATTGTAAGGATCCTCCTCCACCGCACGTTCTAGACAAATTATGGCGCTCTTATCCTCATCGTTTTCTGCGTGGCACTCGCCAAGCATTCTCCAAGCTTCGCTATTATCGGGATGTTGCTGCACCTCGGCTTCAAATGCAAAGATTGCGTCATTCAAATAGCCTGAATTGAAAAATTCGACCCCCTTTTGAAAATTTTCAGACAGGTCCATATATGGATTTTCGGCCTTGTATGTATAGTTATGATGAGTAGAATTATCCCACGCATCTTCGAATGGATCCGTTATCTGCGCTTCAGTCATTGCCTTATTCCAGATCGCCTCCTGTGTTATAGAACAATAATCACCATAACTTTTATGTAGCCTTGCAACAACAGCTCACGTACTAGTTTGTCACTTTCACCCCACGCGCTGTTCAACATTGTTTCTTCCTTTGATATGGAATCCCCCCATGCCTGACTCAAGTTCACGGTAGAAGCAGCGCCCAGTGCATGAACTTCTTCTTCAAGCGGCTGCGCGTGAGCGTCTGCAAAAGCTTTCTCCATGACCGCCGTCGATGCATTACTAGATTGTTTCCAACTATCAAAGAAAAGATCTCGATCTGAATGCACACCCGATGTGTCTGCCCACGCTCTTTCCAGTGCCCCCTCCATTTTAAGCTCGCCACTAATGACTTCATTTTTTTCCTCGTCAATTTGCACCTCGCCCGTGCTCACCTGATTCATAAATTTAAGAAATTGACTGTTTTGAAACTTAGGATCCAAATTTTGGCTCATAATGCGTGCCATATGGCCAGACGCCTGTTGCGCTTCCAATTTTTTCATTGTCTCCTGCATTTTCTGCTCTGAAGAAATTCCCATCTGCTCAGTTTCATTGTGATCAGTGGGGATCAAGGACTGTCGCAGCACAGGCCTTGGTGCATAGCCTTGTATCCCCACAATTTCACGATTGCTCTTGTCAGCACTCTGCCAGGCTTTGTGAAGATTGTAAGAGTGAAAATCTGTAACCCATGCTTCATGCTGCATGGTACGTGAGTGCGGCGTATGAATGCCCATTATAAGTTGCGATTTTTGTTGAAATTGCGTGCGCTGAGCTTCCTGAAAAGCTTTTTCCATGGAAACTTGCTGGGAGGAAGTAAATTGCTGCTTCATCTCACCTGAGCAATAAGCGGCCTCTATGCGTGAGCGACTGGCAGCCTCATGCTCAAAGGCCGACAAAAATTGTTCATCAGCTTTTTGCACGTTGGAACGCTGCATTTGCATTTGCAACTCACTGCGCATGCCATATGACGGCACGGACCCGGGTCTAGGGACATTACGCACATGTGATTGCACGAAGTTATCTAGTGCACGCGATAGAGGATTCTGCGCTGCTACGGTGCCATCTACAGCGCACCCAGTGCCTTGTACGATTTTACCAAGAACGTCCATTTTGTAATCTGTTTGTTCTTATTACACAATTTTATCGGAAATTAAACCTTCAATTTGGCATAGCTAAATGTTTGCTCTTCTGCATCGCATATTTTATACAATTTTGCCTAGAAAAATCGTGTTTGAGGTTCGTACGGCAATGACTTACGCATCAGAAAAGGTCAGATACGAGGGACACCGGCAAAAAATGAAGTTGGCTGCAATCGTGCTTCGCCTGCACAATAGACCGCGACTACGGGGGAAAGGAAAACCAACAGGCCAAAAGCACGATACAGCGACACCCAATTTATGCTCTATCAAATATTCGCAAACTTGTATCTGCAGGAAACGAGATGTTCCCAACGATAGACTCTGGCTGATATTTTGTTGAAAGTGTAGTGTTCACGAATATTGAGAAATTATTTTATTGATAGAGCTGGCAAAAAGAGCATAAAGAAAAATAGGAAATACATTTTGTTCGGCAGAAACATTATTTAGACAACCCATACTAAATGGTCTTTGGAAGAATTTTATACAGCACAGTAATAGGTCTGGTTGCGATTTTAAGGGTTGCTGTGCGCTTGTACGGATGAAGCATTGACAAAAAGATTCCGTATTGACGATCACAGATAGATTGGGATTGGGTTCTCGCGCTTCAAACAGATTCGGAACCGAGAGACTTCTAATGTGATTTATTCCTCAGCTATTTTTAAGTGTACATACACAAAGAATCAACACTATAAAAACTATACTGAGTTTTACGTTTTAATTTCTCGCCGGAAAACCTACTTTAATGTTTGACATGAGACTTGCAGTTAATGGATTCCCATCATCTTCATAGGCATCAATACTGCGAGACTTTTGAACATATTCAAATATACAAACGATCGTACAATTGGAAAGTATTGATAGATACAATCGTACCAAATGAATAAGGGTTTAACTACACAAAACTACAGTGCTAAGTACTCACTAAACTGTGGAGCTCACAATTCTTGTATCCCGAATCGGTCATTGCGTTACGTCTGAAGACTGCGCATTGTATGAAGATATTACGCAAAACTGACCGATCGACGACCAAACGTACGCTTGGAGTCAGACTCCATTCTTTGCACTTTACCGTGCCTGCTCCTCAGAGCATACTTGTGACGGGGTTTCACGTGCCCTGGGTTGAAGGGTGTGGGTCACACAAGATGGTGTGAATTACATAATATGGCCTTGCAACACAATGATGTGGCTACTCTTAAACAAGAAGTCATTACGTGGCTGGAATAGCCAGTACTTATACATTTAATTAGATTTTACTTTGTTGGCGGGACAAACTATAAATTTAGATGTAGGCGGCTTCACCGCAAATAAAATCGAGAATTTACAATTTAGATTTTTGAACGAAAGAGTTAATTCGCCTTGGGTTAAGGTTGTGACTACTCTAGGGGTAAGCGGATTGCGATCCGCTACACTCGTACTGGTTCTGAGTTTAGAACGGAGGTCACCGACCTTAATCAAGCATCCTCTAATGGAAAGAGCTACGGCAGTTCGCTGCACTTTGTGGCACTAGTAGTCAATCTACACGTGAGTCGTTACGACTGACCCTTTGGGAGGATCGAGCAGGTCTCCAATATTCCCAAGGGAATGCAGGACGGGATTAAAAAGCTGATGTCTCTGCTTGACCCTAAGGGCGTACAACACATCGCTTCGCACGGACATGAAGCAATGAGCGCGCGCCAAGAGGCGTTTTAGAGCAATGAAAATGCTCTGCTAGAGCACCTAGAGCAGAAGGTGTCAGCGTCGACAGCGTCCATGACGCCACCGTCAACGACGGATGACTCCTCCCGACACAGGTCACTCATGGGAGTGTTGAGACCTTCGAGGACAAGGATGGAGAGAGCCTCCTACTCATGATGAGAGGCGTCGAGATGGCTATAATGTCCGTTAAGCTCCAGACCGAGCAACAGCGCGTGGTGTAGCTATCTCCAAGCTCGGTGGTCGAGCACGTGAATGGGTACTGACGAGCGTCGCTTTGGTCGAGGCGACATTCCCCCCTGGACGGAGCGAAAGCTGCAGTTAACCAGTGTTCTCGCCGCCTAACCAGGCATATCGCGTGCGATCGCGTTTCCTAACCAACCGACATGGCAAGAAAGAATTGGTGTGTGTCCAAGAGTTGCGTACTCTCATTGCCACTATGGCAGTTGATCCTCTTCCCAAGACGGTCACAGCGACAGTCTTTTTGAAGGGCCTCCGCGCTGCATCTAATTCATGGCTCATGGTGTTCAAACCACGCTATACCATGGATGAGGTCATACCCTGGATACAAGTCGAAGACTATACAGTGCTCCACGCTATCAAAGTCAAGAAACTTGATACCGAGGTCCACAGGGACCCTCGGCGCCGTGACAAGTCCCCGTCGCTAAGCGAACAGTGACGATGTCACTCAGCCGTGCTTTCAGCACCTTAACATACAGCTCTTCTTTCCATCTCGGAGCGTCGAGCATGATTGCCCGACGCCCCAGAGTCAATCAGGATCTTCCATGGTTTCTCAAAGCTATTCACGGTCGCTTTTACGACCAGCAAGCCCGGCTTGCATACACGTTCCGTGCTCAAGAGCTCGGAGCTCTTCGGGGCTGGGCCCTGTTGTCCTCTACCTCTTTGAGGCTCAAAGGCACCCAGTTCTTCCCCGATCGGGCGCTCCGTGCCTACCGAGTGTTGTCGTTTCCCCGCGACAGACCAAAAGACTGGTAAGAAGCGGGATGTCGGTTCGCTAAACCTTGACGCACCCTGCGCAGGAATAAACCAACCCGATGGTGACGGGTATCTCCACAGACAAAACACCGTCGTGTGTTTAAAAGCTGCTCGGCAGCTCGGAGCTCTGCCTTCTCGTCCTCAGCATAGCTGAGTTCCATCGGCTTAGGCCAGCTCGACAAGCTGCTAGAGTGTGCATTTCAACCAAGCCGCGACGAAAGTTGAATATGGCATTTGATGCCACATTAACCGCTTCTGCAAAAGAAGACGGATGCACACAGAAAACTTCCATGGCCACGTCAGTGGGGAGGCCCTCCATAAAGACTGTCACTGTGACCGCTTTGGGAAGATGATCAGCTGCCACACTGGCAATGAGAGTACGCAACTCTTAAACAAACTCCACCAATTCCTTCTTGCCATGTCGGGTGGTAAGGAAAAGCGATTGCACGCGATATTCCTGGTTAGGCGGCGAGAACACTGGTAACAGCTGCAGCTTTCGCTCCGTCCAGGAGGGAAACGCCGCATCGACAGAGCGCCGCACGTCGGTGTCCATTCTCACGCTCGACCACCGAGCTTGGAGAAAGCTAGCGCCACGCGCTGTTGCTCGGTCTGGATCATGGCGGACACCATAGCCATCTCGGCCTTTCTCGCCATGAGCAGGAGATTTTCTTCATCCTTGTCCTCGTGTCCTCGAAGGTCTCGACGCTCACCATGAGCGTCCGGGTCTGGAGGAGTCATCCGTCGTCGACGGTGGCGTCATGGACGCAGTTGACGCCGACATCTAGGCTTTGTCGCAAATAAAACAAAGAATTACAGTTTACAATTTTGACGGAAGAGTATATTTGTCTTGAATTAAGGTTGTGTTTACTCTTGGAGTAAACGGATTGCGATCCGCTACACTCGTACTGGTTATAACGTAAGGTAATCGACCTTAGCTTAGCTTCATCTAAGTGAAAGAGCAATGGCAGCCCGTTTGTAACGGGTTTACACGTACCCTGGTAACAGGGTGTGTGTCACACGAGATGTGCATGGTGTGACCACACCCAAACAAGAATACGGTACGGGGCTAGGTAGCCAATAGTTATGCATGTATTTAGATTTTACTATATATATTTATTATATGTAGGAACATCTAAACTTTTAAATTAGTATAAAAAAAATAAAATCAGTTTTGGATTTTAAACAGAAAGGCTAATTAGCCTTGGGTAAGGAGGCAATAATTACTCTTGGAGTAAGCGATTGCGATCCGCTAACTCGTACTTGTTCTAAGTATAGAATGAAAGGCCGGCGACCTAAATTACGCTTACTTGAGCGCTAAGCTACGGCAGCCCAGCTGCACCACTACACTTTGTTTGGCTAGCTCTTCAAACCCATCATTAATGATATTAACGATTACACAAAAGTGCAACTTGATTGTACAATAAAGTATTATAGCTGTAATTGTGCAAAATACAATATTGCATTTTGCACAATTGTACCAAAGTATTAATTAAGAAGAACCTCACACAGTGACTGTCTAGAGTGTCTCGATGGTATGAAAGTGTTAAAAAATATCACTTTTTGCATTTTACCCTATAGCAATATTCTTACCGAAAACAGTTTAAGGTAATGCTGGGAGAGAAGGCGCTACAGGGCATCGCTGCTTACAAGTACAAGGCGTGAGTTTCTGTTGTATGTCGATATGGATGGGAGGGAATTTGTGAATCGCAACGATCTAGTATTAACCGATTGCTCTGGCGTGCTGTGCTACTGCTCAATTTAGGGGAACGTACACTTACCTGGACAATTTGCTAAATCACTTCTGGACGTACTCAGTGCAATTTATCCCGATATGGATGGCTCCGAATCTTGTTACAATGATTGGTGCCGGCGTCATGATGCTCACGACGATAGTGCAGCTGTACTATGCGCCACATTTTTCTGAGGTCTGCCCCACTTGGGTGCGTCACATTTTGTTCCCATCCGACAAACTTTTTTGCTGATTGGTGTATTACAGGTCTACGTCATGTCGGCGTTAGGCCTTTTCTTCTACCAGACAATGGATGCCTTGGATGGTAAGCAAGCACGCCGCACTAGCTCCTCCTCTCCGCTAGGTCAGCTCTTCGACCATGGCTGTGACGCCGTGTGCACCATATTCAATGTACTGAGCGCAGCTGCCACGTGTCAGGCTGGTGCTGGCCTGCGTCCGTATCTTGCACTATCGTCCGTGTCCATTGCATTCTACTTGGCGCAGTGGGAAGAATACCATACGGGTGTTATGAGCTGCGGTAATGGCTATTTTGGCGTCACAGAAGGACAACTGACGCTGGTTGCGGTTCACCTTTCTGCAGCAATTTTTGGCCCTAGCTTCTGGACGGCAGAGCTTCCATTTACAATGTCCTTCCACCTTACCATGACGGATGTACTTATTGGTACACTAGTCGCGAGCAATGTTCTTTTGGCCTACGGTAACATCTCGAATGTGCTGCGAACGGCTCCGGACGTGATACCACGTAACGAGTTAGGCAACAAGCACATTTCAAAAGATCTTGCCATCTTCCAGTTACTTCCGATCGGCACTCTTCTAGCTCTAGGATCGGTTTGGATTTGCGGACCTGACGCAGAGTATTATGTTAACAATCCGGTGATGTATTTATTTCCGATTGGTATAGGCTATGTGTATTTCTCGGTATGTTTATTGTGGTTTGGATGCACTAAGTAATCAATTCGCGTGATTCTGATTGTGTATCCGTTTGTACATAGACGCAAATGATCATCAGCCACATGTGCAAGATCCCATTCACTCCTCAGCTGCGCGTCATTATTCCATTTGGATTTATGATTTTTAATGCATACGGACCCGCTATAGGAGTTACTACTAAAACGTTGATTCCGACCATTGTGGCTTCGTCGATGTACGCTGTCTTTATCGTGTCGGTGTACCTGCACTTTGTCTTCAGTGTCGTGAAAGATATATGCGATTTCCTCGAAATATTTCTTTTTAAGATTACTCCGGTCACAAAGGAATCCGAGAAGACGAAATAGATTGTCTTGCCTTAAGTCTGCGATCTGAGATAGCAAGCTTTAATGTAGATGTGGAGTGATAAGATTACATATGACAGCACGTAATGAACGTCCAAGCAATCGTATTTGATAAGAATTATGGTAACATAAGTTTGACATTCTGGTTATCGTCCCATAATTAAAAACTGGAAGAATCCAGAACGGGTATGTAGGGTGCGTAACCTCAATCACCAATTTTTAATATGTCAAGATGATAGTGTTTCTAGACAGCCGTACAGAGAATCAAAATACCCAGTCCATGTTTATAAAGAGGTTGAGCTTAGTGCTTTGGAAAATGCAGGATGTATTGCTATGGCTGTAACAAGATGATACACATGATTTGGGCACAAGTAGTGGCAAGGTGCCTTACTTAAGAATACTTGAGCATCCATGATAATGTCTAGCTATATTACATCATGGAACGGTTTTTTCAACACATGATGAAAGCTTGCGGTGGATTGCATATCTTGCTCGCGTATGACAAGGGTGCGATCAAGGGTGCGATCAACTTAACAAGGGTGCGATCAACTTAACAAGGGTGCGATCAACTTAACAAGGGTGCGATCAACTTCAAATGCAATCGTCATAGCAGAATGTACGCACTGACGAGTTTATATGGCAGTACTGCTATTGCTATCAAAAGAGTGTATTGGAAGCTATTCGGTCCCACCGAATATGTAAATAATGAACCCGGGTCGCCTAAATTCAAAGCCGCTCTTCGACTTAGAAAGAGGCAAATATGAATTTATCGTTACTTAAGCTCTGATCCGATAGCGCAGTTGAGTCATGTCCTGCTTTTTGCGAAAAGGACGAACACCCGCAGTTTACTGGAGGTGCTTGGAAAATCAACATACTTGAAGAACTCAAAGCTAGTAAGATTTGGCCAATTTCGAAAATGTAGCAAGTTTAACCGTATTTTCATGGAACTTTGGATCCCACTATGCATAGTGCTTCTAAAATACAAACAAGACCGCAAAATATGTCATTTAGATTCTCACGACATTGATCACTTGCCTGGTATGAAGTGCCACCATAAAGGCTGTGAGCCCTATTTGAATACGTTGGTAGTTCACATTAAGAGAAAAGAAGGTTTGATGCATTTTTTGATTTGTAGCACTCGGGCACATAATCGATCGAAAAGAGGGCATCGGTCATGTCACTAAATGACCACTTCGTGCATGGAAACAAATAAACTTTGACAGTATAAACGAGAACTAAGGGTTGAAGTGCTTTTGGAGCAAGCTTTATAAGTTGTCGGGCAAATAAGCTCTATCCTTGTGTAGAGGATATTGGAAAATTTGAATATTTTCAGGTTCATCAACGGAGATACGGCTGTATGTCCTAGGGAAACGGCTACCACACGTGATAGGTGATAACTGGATATAGAAATACCATTAAGATCGCAGCTCCATTGATGACCATAAATTTACAAACGTGGAGCAGGAGATGCTTCGTTTCTAACGATACAAATTTGGATGAATCTTGCTGCCTGATTGCATAATTTTGCTTTTCATTTAATTTTGAAGACATTGTGTACTCCGAATATGAAACCAACCAATCATTTATTTAAGTATGAACCGACTTTGATCACTATATAAAACGTTGTCTCGTACAAGCATTTAGCTGTTTGAGCTGTTTGAGCTGTTTGTATTCTTTGACATTGTTTACATAAAGACCAAGGTCTCGCTAAACGTCAATAAATTACTTCAATTTCGTATGCCCGACGCATTCATGTCGTGCCTCAACTGATGCACACGCATTTAATATCTGGACAAAGCGACAACCATCAAAGACACTTTAAGCATGCTGGACGTGCACCTAGCAAAGAAATATATCTGCGCAAAAATGTGCTATTTAACTCGGTCCATTCTCATGAAGCACAATCTGTGTAAGAAATAAAGAGCTGTTGACTACGGAAACTTTTAGCTAGTATATTTGTCGTGAACATCGAGCTTCTCAGTAGCTGTCAATGGCTCTAGAGAATTGACTGCAGAGTGACGACAAGTGCACCTAGCAAATTGTTTTGATGCAAAGACTAACTATGTTGTTTTGCGTCTTTGTCTTATCATCTCTATATATGCTGCAAATTGTTTTGATGCAAA